CGGGTTTGTCTGCGTGTGTTTTTGTGTGTGTGTGTGTATGTGTGTGTGTGTGTGTGTGTGTGTGTGTGTCTGTATCCGCAACTTTCAACTCGAAAACCACAAAACTTAGGAAGCTGAAAATTTAGGGGAACGTTCCCTGTCCGCGTGCGACCCCGCAAATTTAAATCAGCTTCCTGGTACCCGCGAGTAACACGTACGGCCCTGTGAAAATTTGTGAGGGTGAAATTATTGTCACGTGAACCACGGAAGCTAGAAGACCGAAATTTTGTGCACATGTCCCCCACTCATGTGCTACCAGAAAATTTAAATCCAGCTTTCCCCTGCTTGCGGGCAACATGTACGGCTCCGTGAAAATTTTTGACGGGTAAATTATCTCGGAAGCTGAAATTTTAGGGTAATGGCCCCTCGTCCACGTACGACCTTGCAAATTCAAATTCAGCGTTGCCGCGCTCTCGGGGTATCACGGCCTTAATTGAAAATTTTGGCAGGTAAACTATCGTCTCGGGATTCACAGGAGGGTATTCACCCTTCAAGGTTTCAAATCCAGCTTTCATGCGCCGGTGCGTGAAATTTTTAACTATTTTTCAACATTTCAACTATTTTTGCACAAACTAAAGCATGAAGCAGTGAAAATCATTAATAGGCAATCGTTCGGTGGGCGGAATTGCATAAAACGCATGATCGTACCGGCTAGTTTGGTGCGCATTGGTATTTATTTTTTCTTTCGCGTTGCCTTCTATGAGGGAGATGAGAATCGAATGATCACGCTATTTACTGGCAACAGATTGCTGAAAATGAGAACGAGGATGTCTTGTTTTAATTAACATTAGTTAAAAGCTATGTGGCTTGCAGATGATGTACGATCAGCGACAGAAAGAACTTGGATTGCCAACATCGGAGGAGAAAAAGAAACGAGACCTTCTCAAAAAGTGAGTATTTTTATTGGCTATAGAAGCGGAATATTTCGAAAGCGTGCTAAGGTTTTTTGTCTCGGGACGATCCTAATTTGGCAGCACTGCCTAATATTTTCGTCCTCTGTGGGCTTCGCTCCTTTTTATTCCCCTCTTCTG